TTTTTAATTTTGTTTTGCTGTTATCAGGGAATGAAGAACTTGAACTAATGAGCTAGTGATATCTGGCCCTTTTTAGTCATTAGAGTTAGCAGAGAGAGAGCTGGAAGCTAAATGGGAGGTGAGACCAACCGCCTTTGTCTTTCTGACCTCGTGCGGTTCCAAGGGAACTCTGCTTTCTGGGATTTAGTCAGGCAGTGAGATTCTCCTACTCCTCTCTGTCTTCGTATCTTCCCTAAATGGAACAAAACCTTCAATGACCAGTCTGTTCTGAGGGATAGGATCCTGATAACACCCTTCTTTCCCAAGAAAGGAGTAGAAATTCCACAAGCTAACATGGATATGGATACTGTTCAAGTGTAGGCTGTACATGAGCTCGAAATGTATCGCCTCGGAAAGTTCGAGAGACGAGAATTCACAGATTTGAATGCCTACTGCCTGTCAGGGATGCCCTAGTGAAAAAGTCCAATCCCAGGCCTCATGGAGCTTATAGACTGGTTTAGCGTTTTCCAGTGGTAAACTTGTCATTTCCAGTAGGACAATTCTTGAATGTACAGAATGACCCTGTGTGCTGCTTTCCCTGCCCAATAAATATTGAGGGCTTTCTAGTCACTGTGACACTGTAATCAAAACTTACACTCACATTTTTAGATTCTCCTCCAGGTGAGGGGGATAGGAATACCCCCCTCTTGAGCACTTTTTTTTTTTTTTTAAAGAATTATTTTACTGAATGAACTTTATCTATTCATTTATTTTAATTTGACCAGAGAGGGACACAGAAAGAGAGAGAGAGAGAAGGCAAGCCGCCAGGTCCAGGACTTGAACCATGGTCAGCCATGTAGGAGTTCAGCACCCTTAACGACCATACCACCTGCCAGCCCCCTTGAGCACTGGTTTATAGGGAAGTGCAGCTTTATAAGTTCACTCAAATTCTGCTCTTTGGGACCAGCAGTTAGCGTAATGGCTATGTCGCTGGACTCCCACATAGTCGACTGCGGTTCGTGTCCTGGACCTGGTGGCTTAAACTCACGCCAGGCGCGTGTGCATGCGTGCCCAAGATCCCGAGAGGAGAATGGAGGAGAAGGGATTGCGGCGTGGCCATCCCCCCTGGGGGGTGATTTCTCACTTTCTGTCTCTGTCTCTCTCTGTCTGTCTGGCGAGCACACACACCCTATAGCAAAAACCTGTCCAAAAAAAGAAAAAAAAAATTCTGCTCTTTAATATAATTATTATTTTTGGTCATTCCCTCCCAGGCTCTTCTTATACATGCATGCTTTGTTTTGAGAGTACACACACTGTCACAAATATTATTGGGACCATACTGGCCCCTAGGTTCCTGGGAGAATTGAGGGAAACCTTAGCCCATAAGATAAGGTGCCTGAGCAATGCCCACAGGTGCAATTGACTTTTAGGGCAAAGAAGTATCTTTTTCATATTGAAGTTATGAGATAATTTTGAAACAGACTATAAAACATAGGAAGAAACTTATTTGTGAATTTAAAGGCTGATACTAGGAGTAGACCAGAAAAAAGTTTGCCTTTCCTGTCCTTAAACTTCTACAAGAGGTCTTCAAAAAGTTTATAGAAAACGTGTTTTATGAAAAAAACTAGGGCCAGCCAGTGGCACACTGGTTAAGGTGTCTAGATCCCACATAGCCGTCTGCGTGGCTTGAGTGCCAGACTCAGTGGTCTAAAAAATACACCCAGGTGTGTTTGTGTGCATGCCCAAATCTCAAGAGGAGTGTGCAAAAGAGGTGATTACCCTGAGGGGGTAATTTCTCACCCCCCCCACCCCATCTTTTTCTCTCCAGTGAGCACACACCCTATGACACCAAAAAAAACCCTGTTAAGGATTTTTTTAAGCACCAAAATAAATCCACATTTTTTTTAGTTGCTAGCAGTTACTTACACTCACCTGAAAGAGACAAAGTGCCTCCCCAGTGGGGCATGGTCATGCCACATCCTTTTTCCTCCATTTTTTCCTTTCAGAATCTTGGGCATATATGTGCACATGCCCGGCAAGCCACTGTGGCCAGTACTTGAGCAATGTTTGGCTAGTAACCCTGTGCTACAGGAGTGGACAAACTTTCTGAGGTCTCTTCGTATTACCCCTGTGCTGTTCAGATGGATTTGAAGTCTCCACACCCCACTCCTCTATGGTGTGCTCCAAGTAGGAAACAGATAAGGCCAGTGGTCTTGAGTACTTACCTACTTATATCAGGGATACTTCTGATGATGATAAACGTTTAACAATACCTTAGTATATATGGATCTGTTTTTATCACCTGGTAAGTCTAGCCATGAGTAACTGTGGCCTGTTGTACTGGGATTTCTTTGCTTCTCTTGGCCTTGTCTCTTAAGGTTGAAATATATAGTCATGTCTATGTTCAAGGCAAAGGGGAGGGCTAAAGGTTTTCCAGAAGCCCCCAGGCCACAGTCCCCTTACATCTCATTGGCTAGAACTAGATCACATCACGCCTAGCTACAAGGGAAACTTTAAAAAAAAACAGGATAGTCTTTTTGTTATTGTTGCTGTTTTTTTAAGTTTCCTTCTTTCTTTCTTTTTGGAGAGGTTTTTGCTATAGGACACGTGCACTCGCCAGAAAGATAGAGACAGACAGAAAGCAAGAAATCACTCCCCGGGGGGGATGGCCACGCAGCAATCCATTCTCCTCTTGGGGTCTTGGGCACGCACACACACCCAGCCTGAGTTTAAGCCACCAGGTCTGGGACTCAAACCATGGTCGACTCCATGAGAGTCTTGTGACATAGCCATTATGCCAACTGCTGGTCCCAAGTTTGTTTATTTCTTCCATGACCAAGGAGATAACACTCTAGTCCAACAGGGTCCTGATGCCATGATCCATCCCCAGCCTTCAGCCAGCCTCAGGTTATGGACAGATATGTGCTTAGTATACTCAGGGAGGTCTCCACAAATGAACCAGGAACCAACCTTCCCTTGTGAGATTGCCCACAGAGTGTCCCATTTTCCTGCTGCACCTCTGTCCTGCCATCCTAACAGGATAATCTTGATTGGTTTATACCAGTAATTTGCCTTCTCTGGGACTAGGCTCACCACCTTGACAGGTTTGGGATTCTTTCAGAAAAGAGAAACTGGATATTGATTGGGTAGACCATTAAGCTGGGTCTATCACATGACATCGGAAGGTAGAATTGAATGGATCTGAGGATGTTTATCCTAGTCCACCACTCATAATGCTGTGTCAAGTGCCTTTTGCAGAAAAATATTTGGCTGTTTAGTTCCTTTCAAGCCCTGATTGTTGTGAATGCTTTTCTTCTAAGCCAACTGTGTTCCTTTCTTTGCTTTGTTTCCCTTGTCTCAGTTTTTCAACCCAGGAAATAAATACTGTGAAAGAAGTGCTTTATCTCCTTCAAGATGTTGTCCTACCAACTTGTCAGTCTGGATTTCTTATTTTATCCCTCTTTTGGGCTTTCTATCAGCTGACTCTTAATGCCCTTGGCGTGAAGCCTCCTTGCATTCATCTTGCCTTACAGATGCATGTTATGTATATGAGCTAGTTGAAAGAGTCAAATTTTACTTCTGGTGCTCTACTAACCTTCCCTTTTTCTCTTTCTCCTCCTCTTTTCCTTTCCTCTTGTTTCCCTCCTCTCCGTTGCTGCTGCAGAGCGTCTCTACAGCCAACTTGAGCGAAACCGCCTGCTTTCTAATGAACTGAAGCTAACGCTGCATGATCTGTGTGACTGACGGGCAGGGCTCACTGCTGCCCATTAAACCGAGCTTACTGCTCACATCACTGACCTGGACCCCAGCAAAAGCTGATTGTCTTTTTAAAAGTTATTATTTTGCCTTAAGCAAATTGCTTTTGAATTAGGGCAGTTAGAATATTGTTGGTTTCCTAACAGCACTGTACAATTGAAACAGTCAATACTGTGTTCTGTCCCTTTACAAGAGATCATGGGTGTTGAAGAAAGGGAGGGAAGTGGAAGATTATAGTGAGGAAACAAACCTGGGAAAAATTGTTCTCTACCCTTATTTGCTGTTCTTTCACTTGTGCAATGACTATAGGATATGTTCCCTTGCATGGATGTTTTCTAACAATAAAAGGACTGACTTGACAAGAAGTTGTACCTGCTTCATCTGCAGGCCCAGGGATGGGCCCTTCTGACTGGGTAGCAAAAAGGGAAGGGAAAAGAAGGGTGTGGGATACGGTTGTGGGGCTGTGTTGCCATCACTTTCTCTGAGTTGAAGGTCTGAGTATTTTCCACACCTCCCTAGAGCAATCAGAGTGGTTTGCTTGCCAGGCAGTTCAGATTCTCTTTAATGTTCAGTCGCTCGTTTTCCTCCTGACATTTCCCTTCTTGCTTTGTTTTCCTGGTTTTATGTTTAATTGCACGTAGCTCTGTCATGGGCTCATTTTTGCCAGTCGCTCTGCAAAAATTTCAAGGTGTTGCTTACAAGTCTATGTTTGGTTAATATTCTTTGCTTTCTTTTCTCTAGCTTAGTTATAAGGGCCCTTTTATCTGCCCCACCAATTATTCCTTTCCCTCTACCTTTTGGAAAAAACCATGAAGCATATGAGGCTACTCCTATACTCTTTTGAGTTGCAATTCTGATGTTTCTGCTAGTAGAAGTAGGCCTATTTGTTTGCAGTGGTCAAACTCAAGTTAACCATTTTAAGTGGGTGTATTTCTTGGGACAAAGCTTAGAAGACTTGATGGCTAATGTTTAAGGTCTGTTCCTACAGTGACTGTTAGCTGAAAGCCTGGTTGGGTGTGGGAGCGAGAGGAAATGGTTGATAAGGTCCCCAGTTCCCTCCCCCAGGAAGTAAAGCAACACCTGCAACTTCAGTAGGCAAGCTAGAGGCCCTGCAAAACCGAGCGATGCAATAGCTCAGTTCTGTGGCTGAGAAGGCAGCAGCTTTATTAGTCTGCAGCTTCCCTGCAACCGGAGCAAGTCTCAGAGTGGGCAGACCTTGAATTGTGCTGCTACTTTTGGTAACTCTTCTCCTTTACCCCCATCAGATAAACTGAAATGCACCAAAGAGGAGCACCTCTGTACACAAAGGATGCTGGACCAGACTCTGCTTGACCTGAACGAGATGTAGAACACCCCAGTCCCACCCTGCCGCTGCTCTTCCCTCACCCCAACTCCGCCTGAGGCCAGCCTGCCCGAAGCTGACCTTGAAACTGAGGGCTGATCTTTAACTGGAAGGCTGCTTTTTTCCTTTGCCTCCCCTCCACCCTCTACCCTCTTTGTCTTTTTCGCCAAACTGTCTCTCCCTCTTCCCAGAGATTCCAACTGGGTTAGAGGCTGAGCACCTTTGGGAACAACTTTTAAGGGAATGTGAGCACAATGCACAGTGTCTTTAAAAGCATGTTGTGATGTACACATTTTGTAATTACCTTTTTTGTTACGTAGCAACGATTTGTAAAACATTCCAAATAATCCTACAGCTCTGAAGCAGCAGTCTAATCCTTTTCTCACTTTTGGAAGGTAGCTTTTCAGTTTAATGCATATTGCCTCCATAAAGGAGGAAAAGAGATATCGGCCTGCCTTACTGGGAGCCAAACAGAGCCCAGGGCAAGACTCTGCTGCAGGAAACCTCCTTGCTCTGTACAAAGTGCCAGCTAAACCAGAAGGATGATTCCAGGAGGAGTTAGCCAAAAACAAAAAAAGTGCTGTTTAGGTTTCAGCTTTACAACTTTATTATTTTCGTTGTTGTTGTTAATTTTTGCAATCAGAAGTGACCAAATTAAGATGGTGAGACCCCGGAGACCAAATGTTTATCCCATCTCTACCCTCTTCCCAACCCAAGCCAACCCCTCACAGGATGGATCATGTGCCCCTTGAGATGGTGTCTTAATTGCTCTCCTGCCTCCTTGAAAGAAAGAAGAAAGAAATTGTGTTTTGGCCACAGATGAAATTCATCTCATCGCCCTCTTCTGGGTCTGAAGCTGCTGCCTCTAAAAGTGCCATCTCATTGTGCTTTGTATCAGTGCTGGAGAAATCTTGACTAGCTTATGTACAAAACTTCTTAAATTTTATATTATTTTGAAACTTAGCTTCTCCGGGGTTGGGATTTCCTGGCCACCCCATCTGGCTGTGAGAGCTCTGCAGTCTGTGGGCTGGCAGCGTGCTGATCTAAAGTTTCTTTTCCCACCCAATCCCCACTTTTTGGTGAGGTTTCCATAAGGTCTGTTAGGTGTACATCCTGCAGCTTATAGGCTTAAATTGTACTCTCCTTTGGTGTGGTCTCTTTGGGGCCGATTGGGAGAAAACCAATAGTGCAACTGTTTTGATACTGAATATTGACAAGTGTCTTTTTGGAATAAAGAACCAGTCCCTCAAACTCTCAGACCTGTTTGACTTTTTTATTTAAATCAGCCAAATATGCTTTCTCCACAGGAGCTGTAAGGTTTGTGTTAAAAATTAGATCTTTGTGAGTGGTAGCAACAGAATTTAATGTAGAGCATACGACTTAGGAGCAGACCGGTGCTGGGTTCAGAACTCAACTTGGAAATTCCTAGTTGTGTAACCATTTCGTTTCATCATGGAGTGATATTATTAGGAGATAATATTGTCAGACTAAATGTTTGGTTTTTTTTGTGTGTGTGTTTTTTGGAGAGGTTTTTGCTATAGGGCACATGCGCTCGCCAGAAAGACAGGGAGACAGAAGGTGAGAAATCACACCCCCCCGGGGGGGGGGATGGCCATGCTGTAATCCCTTCTCCTCCTCTCAGGGTCTTGGGCACGTACACACACACACGCCCGGCGTGAGTTTAAGCCACTGGATCTGGGACTCAAACTGCTGTCAACTATATGGGAATCCAGTGACATAGCCATTATGCTAACTGCTGGTCCCAGACCAAATGAGAAGATTAGAAATAATAGGGACCTTTCTGTGTCTTTCTGGTAAGCACACACCCTATAGCAAAAACCTCTCCAAAATAATAATAATAGGGACCAGCAGACGGCATAGTGGTTATGTTGCTGGACTCCCGCATAGCCAATCGTGGTTCCAAGTCCTGGACCTAGTGGTTTAAAACATGCCAGGTGCATTTGCATGCAGCCTAAGATCCCATTAGGAGAATAGAGAAGGGATTGTGTCTTGGCCATCTCCTGGGGAGTGATTTTTCACTTTTGTCTTTCCAGGGATCGCATGCACCCCGAGGCAAAACCTCTCAAAAAAAAAATATAATATTTATCTGCCAGGCCTTTTAACACTAGCATCTTAAGGCTAAATTATACATTTGCCTTTACAACTATATTTTTTCTTTAAAACCACAGATATGTTGTACTTCTTAAACTATATGATGTTGATTATATACTCCTATGAATATGTGATTTTAGTATGTCCTGAGATAGGCTTTGGATGACTATCCTGTTGGATATTTGGAGAAAAGTTAATTTAACACGAAGTGTTTTTGAGAGTATTTGCTTAGGGACGGGCTGTATATATGTGGACAGCTTTCAAAGCTGCCTTTGAGATGCCAGTGTCTGGTATTTCCTACATCCTGGCCTTGAGGCCAGACATGAATATGACTTCCCAGTAAAAAGTACACAGCTCCCTTGACAAAGTCCAGCCGTTTATACTAGAGACTGGAAAGTTTTCTGTTTATAAGCATGGACCAAGGCTGACTAGGATTTTTTTTTTTTTTTTTCTGTCTAGGAACCAAAGTAGGCAACAGAAGGAGAAATTAGGTCTTTCTAGATTTTTCTGCTTCTTAGTTTGAAAATGGCCTGCCTTCTGATATTTAGGGAAGTAGCCGATTTAGTGGGTAACTGAATTTGTGCCTCGAGTTTCCACAATGGCTAGGTGGTGAAGGGCTTCATTGAGGAATTCCCACAATGCCAAGCAAGGAGCCCCCACCCCTTGGCGACGTCACACACGCGGATTGGCTGGTGTTGAGGGGAAGGGCGTGGCTGTAGTTGAGCGGGAACCTGAGATCCGGCAGGCGCCATGACTGGCTGTGCGGGCCCGGGCTCCCAAGGTTTCTGCTGGTCTCTACACCGCGTCCTGTTACTGTATCTGTTTTTACTTAGTACCCTGGCCAACAAACTTAACGTGCCACAGGTGTTGCTACCCTTTGGCCGGGAGCCAGGCCGGGTGCCCTTCCTGCTGGGAGCGCAGCGGGGCTGCTACACTTGGTGAGGGGTGGGGTGTGGTCGCAAGGGTATTTGACCCCATACCATCCAGAGAAGATGGGTGAGGTTCCCACTGGAACAAGGGAGAGGGCAGGGTGTCAGTGTGTGGGAAGGCCAGACCCTCCGGATGTGTGATATCAGGTTGTGTGAGGGTCCTTATGTGTGAAGTTCCCCGGGTGTGACACTGGCCTTTCCCCTGTGTGCTGGGAGAGGGTCACTGAGCGAGCGGTTGCTGGGCCCCGGGGAAGCCGTGTGTTGGCGTCTGCAGGTATTGATGGCTCCTCAGTGTGAGAGACTTGAAACGTCAACAACCAGGGTGAGAGCGATTCCCCAGATCTGTGGAAATTTCATTAGGAGCAAAAAGAACTGGAATGTGAGGGTTCCCCCTAGGTAGGGTGATCTCTTCGATATGAACACAACAGCTAATTACAATAGTAACCGAGTACTTCACTAAGCTCTTTATTGACCTATTCACTTTGTTTTTTCTTTCTTCCTTTTTTTTTTTTTTTTGGAGAGGTTTTTGCTATAGGGCTCGTACACTAGCCAGACAGACACAGAGAGACAGAAAGTGAGAAATCACCCCCCAGGGGGGATGGCTACGCCTCAATCCCTTTTCTATTCTCCATTCTCCTCTTGGGATCTTGGGCATGCACGCACACGCACCCGGCGTGAGTTTAAGCCACCGGGTCCGGGACTCGAACCGCAGTCGACTACGTGGGAGTCCAGCGACATAGCCATTACACCAACTGCTGGCCCCAACCCATTCACTTTTTATAGTCTGACCAAATAAGTACTATCACTCCCTTTTTACAGATGAAGAAGCTGAGACCCAGAATCTGTGAAGTGTAAGCTTGAAATATGAATAGATTTATCTTCGCTGGAGATGATATTTAATATAAAATTGCCCCCCTTATGTGAGGGATCCCATTCAAAGTGTGAGGACAAGGGGTACTCAACTCTGGTATAATGACTTTCTGACTAAAGATTTTCTGATATGAGAGGACCCAAAGAGGTTTTGAGATTACCCAAGGTATGAGGGTACTTAATAGTACCAAGACACCAAAGTGTTGATGCTGAGTAGAACAGATTTCCTTTTATCAACTCTTAGAAGTAAGGTTTGTTCAGAGTACAAGAAGCTCATCTTTCATTTTATGAGGAACTATAAGGGAATTGGGCTTGTAAAATGACCCAGTGTGATAGATTTTCTGACCAAGGGGGATAACAAATTTTTAGCATTGAAAGCCATTCCTTCTATCCATCCATCCAGAAAATTAATGACTTATTTTTTCCTTTGTTTTGTATTTTCAGTTGGACACCTCCTAATTTGGGTAACTTTTCCTTCTTAGATACCAGCAGCCTGGTTTGGGTTTGGTGTTCTGTTTTTTGCCATAACATGTTCCTCAGAGAGAGAGAGAGAAAGAGAAGGTACCCAATACAGCATGGTCACACTATAATCAAATATAGTATTTGATTGTAATTTTTCATCCTGTTAGGATTTGAGGCATGTGCACACATGTACTCAATGTTTTTTTTTTTCTTTCTTTTTTTTTGGGGGGGAGAGGTTTTTTTTGCTATAGGGTGTATGCGTTCGCCAGAAAGACAGAGAGATAGAAAGCGAGAAATCACCCTCCAGAGGGGATGGCCACGCCGCAATCCCTTCTCCTCCATTCTCCTCTCGGGATCTTGGGCACTCACACACACACGCCTGGCGTGAGTTTAAGCCACCGGGTCCGGGACGTGAACTGGTCGACTACGTGGGAGTCCAGCAACATAGCCATTACGCTAACTGCTGGTCCCCTCAATGTGTTTTTCAAGCTGCCAGGGCTGGGATTTGAACCACACAATAGCCATATGGAATCTGGCTCCCTTAACCACCAGGCCACAGGGCCAGACCTCACAGCCCAGTTTCTAGGATTAGACAAAATTCATTCCTTCAGAATATAAGAAAGTCTAGTCTTAATATTGAACATATATCAATCCTATGTTTACATTTTAAAAGGAAAATGTAGCATTAATCTTGCTTTAAATATTGAGAGACTGGTCCAGCCAGTGATGTGATGGTTAAGTAGCTGGATCCCAAATATGTGGCCAACTGCACAGTTTGAGTTCTGCTCCTGGTAGCTTGAAAAGCACACCAGGCTCATGTGTGTGTGTGTGTGTGTGTGTGTGTGTGTGTATGTGCGCGCGCAGGCGCGCACAGACGTATGCCTAAAATCCTGAGAGGAGAATGGGAGAGAAGGGATTGCGGGGTTGCCATCTCCCTGGGGGATGCTTTCTCACTTTCCCTCTCTTTGGGTGAATCATATGCCCTCTAACAAAGTTTTAAAATAAATATATTGAGGTAATAATATAACATTTCTGGGACTTTGTACAAGATGTCATCGGGAAAAGGTTCTAATCAGTCTTTCCCAGTTTAATTCTTAATTCTTATGTCCCTAAGCAGTCTTCCTCCTTTAAAGAGTGTCATTAAAGTATACCTGATAGCATATAACATGGAAAAAGTATAGGAATTTGTATTCCACTAAAATTCATTAAACCCATGTATTAGCGACTCAAGTATTTTGTTCTGGCAGGCACTCTACCCATCCTGATGCAGTTACTGTTGAGCCTTTATTTGAAAATGGCATCTTATGTTCTCAAAGAGCTGTACTCATTGCTCAATCTACTCAACCGATACGCCTCAGCAGTATTATTCTTGCTCGAGAAACAGGTATGTTGAAAGCAAAGACATTATGTAATGCTTCATCTGGAGGAGAGTAATCTGCTATTTTATATAAGTAGTTAATATAGGGGCTGGAAGGTGGCGTGGTGGTTAAGAGCACTGGATTCCCACAAGGCCAACTGGTTCAAGTCCTGGACCTGGCAGCTTGCTTGCTCTCTCTCTCCCCCCCTCTCCCTCTCCCTCTCTCCCTCTCTCCCTCTCTTCCTCTCTTCCTCTCACTCTCTGGCCAAATTAAAATAAGTAAATAAATAAAGTTAAAATACAATAATTATTTTTTAAAGAATTATTTATTTAATTTTATTTATTCATTTGTTTATTTAATTTGACCAGAGAGAGAGGCACACAGAGAGAGAGAGAAAGTGAGAAAGCAAACCATGAGTCCAGGACTCAAACCGAGGTTAGCCAAATGGGAGTGTCCAGCACCTTAACCACCACGCCACCTGCTGGTCCCAAAGTACAATAATTCTTTAAAAAATAGTTCATTTATAAATGGCATTGGTTTGAAATGATGACATGTAGTATAAAAAAAGATTCTTGCAATAGAAACCTTAATTATGGTATTCTATTCTGTGACCTTTTTTTTTTTTTTTTGGTAGTATACCCATCACCAGGTATGATCCCTGATACCATGGAAACTCGAGTTTAATTTGAATCAATTAAAGAAGGAAGGAATTATTTATCTGGTGTTAACTTAAGTGTTTGGGTCTGAGGTTGGCCTGAGGGAGGCAAAGTGCAATGTAAAGACCAGTTCTCACAGTGCAGGCTCTGTGTATGTTATCCTCAGCATTGCCTGTATCACATGGGAGCTTGTCAGAAATGTAAATTCTTGGGGCCAGCAAGTGAGGTGGTGGTTGGGATGCTGGATCCCATGTAGTTGACTCCGAGGTTTGAGTCCTGGACTCAGCAGCTTGTACAGTGCCAGATGCATGTATATGTGTGGCCAAAGACCTGAGAGGAGAATGGAGAAGAGATTGCATGTGTCCATCCTCCTTGGAGGGAGATTCTCTCTCTCTTCTCCAGTGAGTGTACGTGCCCCATAACAAAAACCTTAAAAAGAAAGAAAGAAAGGCTCGATCTCTGATCTCCTATATCAGGATCTCTGGAGCGGGTCCAGTGTTCTGTTTTAATAAGCTTTTCAGGGGATTTTTATACACACTGAAGTCCAAGAAGCACTGCATTAGTCTCTTTTAGTCTTGCGTAGCTCAAACAATTCATATCAGAGCAGGAGTCTTTGTATCCCTGAATTTTTGGCAATTCCTTGCCATATTGATCTGTGTAGCTATTAAATATTTTTGTTAAATAATTTATCTACAGTATGCCATTAAAGAGAAGTTTAGAATACTGTATTTCATATCATTGAAGGTACACTTTATTATAAAGCACACACTTTATATACCACTGTAAAAAAAATTGCCAATTAGGGCCAGCAGGTGGTGTGGCTAAGGGCATTGGACTTCCACATGGCCCACTGCAGTTTGAGTCCCAGACCCGGTGGCTTGCTTTCTCTCTCTCTCTCTCTCTCTCTCTCCTTCTCCAGTCAAATTAAAATTAAAAAAAAGAAAGTTAAATAAAATATATTTTAAAAACTGCAATTAGAGTATGCTTCTTTTCACATGGAATTACTACTTTTTATCTATTGAAAGGACTCTTTGGGACCAGCAGGTGGCATGGTGGTTAAGGCACTGGATACTCCCACATGGCTGACCATGGTTCAAGTCCTGGACCTGGTGGCTTGCTCTCTCTCTCTCTCTCTCACTCTCTCTCTCTCTCTCTCTGATCAAATTAAAATAAATGAATGAATAAATAAAATAAAATAATTCTTTTTTAAAAAAAGAACTCTTTAATTGGGTGACTAAGTTTCTTATTATGTATAAACTAAAATAAATAATTCCTAGAACTACTTACATTTCTGCCTCATGTGACTCACTTTTTGACTGGGAATCATCAGTGTCAATGTTTATCCCCACAATATCTTCCCTTGTGCCATCAAGAGTGTTACTGATGTACCATTTCTTTTTTTAGAGAGATTTTTGCTATAGGGTACGTGTGCTTGACAGAGAGATAGAAAACAAGAAATCACCCCCTGGAGGGATGACCATACCCAGTCCCTTCCCCATTATCCTCAGGATTTTGGGCATTCATACACACAGGCCCAGTGCAAGTTTTGTTTGTTGTTTTTGTTGTTGTTGTTAACATAAATTAACCCATTTATTGTAGGCTACTGATACTCCAAATGTCTATGGAACTTCTGCTGGTCTTTCAATTCCTTCATTCAGTCTTCTGATGGCAGACTTTACAGTGACAGCTGAAGTGGTGGTGTAGGTCCAGGCACCACTGACTACCGTTTTCATGCAGAAACCTCAGTGCCAGATCCCCACAGCCTGTCTCTTCATCTTAGTTTTGCCACAGAAGGAGCAAGTGTACTCTGCGTGCTGGCTGATTTCAGTTTTCTTCACCATTCTCCAGAGGGAGGCACCATAGCGGGTCCCATATAGACTGAAGATGCCGACCTTCTTGGTGCATTTAGCCATATTGCCGCCAAGTAGGTCTGGAGCCCAGAGAGCCCCAGTGTGTTTTAAGCTGCGGTCATGGGGTCCTGGACTCAAACTGCAGTTAACTACATGGGAATACAGCTAAGTAACCATTACACCATCTGCTGGTCCTGATGCATTTCTTAAAAGAATCAATTAAAGGAAGAAAGACAAAAACACCCTGATACCTACTCTTAAGATGACTTTGCAATTAGAACTGTTGTTTTGTTTCCAGCTTTGGAATGTGTCCCAGCACATCTGAGTCACTGCCTTCCCAATTCCTCTCCTTATCCTCTTGGTTCCTAAGGGATAAAAGAGTTCTCTACTATTGTTCTTCAGATTTTCCCCACCTACTAAATACCTATTCTGCAAATTTTGATACCCTTTTAATGTTCTCACACATTCAGTCAGTAACAACTGTATCATGACTGCTGCTTGACTGACAGTTGTCAGATGCCATAAATTATAAGATAAATCCCAATTTCAGAGATCTTAAAATATCAAAAAATGAGGATCTGCTCTGTAGCTTAGTTTTTGAGGGAGTTGGATCCCACATGGCTAACCATAGTTTAAATTCCAGCCCCAACAGCTTGAAAAACACGAGGCACTTGTGCATGTGTGCCCCAAGTCCTAAGAGGATAGAAAAATCGAGGAGAAGGGATTGTAGCACCACCCCACCCCACTGGGAAGGGTACTTTCTCATTCTCTGTCACTAGCAAACATGTGCACCCTTTGGCAACTAAAAAAAAAGTCAAGGGACCAGCAGTTGGAATAGTGGTTAAGGGTGCTAGACTCCCACATGGCTGACCGTGGTTTGAGTCCTGGATCTGGTGACTTGCTTTCTCACTTTCTCTCTCTCTCGTTCTGTTCCTCTCTGGTTGAATTAAAACAAATAAGTAAATTTAAATAAAAAATAATTCTTTAAAAAAATAAAGCCAAAAATTGGTGAGGACCAGACTGTGGTATGATGGAGGCTTGATTCCACATGACTGACTTCGCAGTTCAAGTCCTAGGCATGGGGGCTTGATGAATATGCTTGGGCACATGTGCCTGCCCACCATCCCCAAAAGTAGGAAGAGACAGAGCAGAGGAAAAGTAGGAAGAGACCGGGCAGAGGGGATTGTGTTGTGACCATTCCCCATGGGAAGTGCTGTCTCCCTTTCCTTCTCTCTGTCTCCCTCTATCAAGTCAATTGTGCTCTGGCAAAATTAGAAAAAAAGAATCAATGAAATATTGTATGAAATTCTCATGCGAGACTAGAAGGATACTAAGGTCAGAAATGAAACATTGATTTGGTCACATATGCTATTTTTTAAATGTAAATACTCTTTTTTGGGGGAGAGGTTTTTGCTATAGGGTGCGTGCGCTTGCCAGAAAGACAAAGACAGACAGAGAGATAGAAAGTGAGAAAGCAGGGCCGGCAGATGGTGTGGTGGTTAAGGGCGCTGGACTCCCACATGGCGGACCATGGTTCAAGTCCTGGACTTGGTGGCTTGTTTTCTCTTTCTCTCTCTCGTCCCCCCCTCTCCTCTCTCTCTATCTCCTCTCTCTCTCACTGTCTGGGCAAATTAAAATAAATAAATAAAAAAAAAAAAAATTACTTAAAAAAAAAAAAAGAAAGAAAGCGAGAAATCACACCCCGGGGAGATGGCCATGCCGCAGTCGCCCCCGGCATGAGTTTAAGCCACCGGGTCCAGGACTTGAACCGCGGTCAACTACATGGGAGTCCAGCGACATAGCCATTACATTAACTGCTGGTCCCAAATGTAAATACTCTTAACTACAGGAACTTTAATAAAAGCTTCTGCCATAGAAATATTAGGAAAAATGTCAAATGCGGCACTCGGCCAAATTTTATATGACGTATGGCAAATATTTAAAAAATAAGTATCTTTAAATCAACTGTCCCAATTTTACTTTTCATACAAACGTATACATGGTTGATGGAGACTTCCAGTGATAAGTGCTAGTCTCGGAGTCCTGCCAGGTGCATTCCCGTCTGAATGTGAATAGGCTGTCAGAAAGGGAAAGTGGAGGGCATTTTGAAGGGGATGCACAGCGAAGGGGACTTCATTTTCTTGGACAAATACTGAGTTGCCTACTCAATAGGCACTTATAAAGGTAAAAAGATTTAAGCACTCCATTGGGCCAGCCAGTGGTATTGTGGTTAAGGCAGCTGGATTCCATATGGCCAACTGGTGGTTTATGTCCTATACCTTGAGGCTTGAAAAACACACCAGAGGGGCCACCAGGTAGTGTAGTGCTTAAAGTGCTGGACTCCTACTTGGCCAACCATGGTTCAAATCCCAGACCTGGTGGCTTGTTTTTTCACTTTCTTTTTCTCTATCTCTCTGTCTCTCCCTGGTCAAATTAAAAAATAATAACAACAAATGGAACTAAATAAATAAATAATTTAAAAAAAAAAAAAGAAAAAAAAATACCAGGTGAGTGTGCATG